TTTTTAATTCCTATTAACGTTTTAATTTATATTTTGCTCTATATTGATATTTAAAAGTATTTTACTCTTCATTATAAATTACTATTTTAATTTTTTCTGTATACCACCTATATTTTCCAAGCGATGCAGAATTTTTATCAAGAATTTTTTTTTGTAAAAAGTAAAATAAAACTTTCCCATTTCTATAAAACTTTTTTGAGACACCATGTCTCAATGGCGTAACTATATTTCTTTGGTCCTAATGCAAAATACATAAAGATTTCATTTACAAATCACAAATACTAATTAAAATAAAACAACGGCCCTCAATTTTTTTTATTTATTTTACATATGACAACATAATATTTCTTTTTATCAAAGATAATTAAGTTTCAATTTAAAATAAGTAATAATTAAGTTGCAAATTATTATAAATTCTCGAGAGTTTAAAAAAAAACCTAAATATTAGGCTTCAAATATTTGCAATACTTGTCTTATGGTAGTTACGCCACTGCCGTGTATATTATTATTTATAACTCGTTGTAATGCTGCCAATTGTCTTATATTTGTTAAGGAACTTTGTTATACAATTCTGTAAAATGAGTTTTGACCCGTAAATAAATAAATAAATAAAAACATTTAAAACTTGAAGCTGAAAAACGAAGCTTTCTGTCACATTTAGCATATAGGCGATTACCTAAGTGACACGATCTACTGACTACATATTGTTTAAACTTTACTTAAGTTTCCTTGTAAATATAAAAAAAAACTATAGTTGATTGCCATTATTTATCGATTTTTCACAATAATCACTAATTTTTAATTATATTTTACATTAATAACTAAAACTAATTTTAAATAATAAAAAAAATAGTCAACTTGACATTAAGTAATGAATTAATTGTAATTGATAGAAAACATAGAATGGATATAATTGTATATTATATTCGTTCAATAGACTAATACCACATATTTATTTTGTATATCGTGCAAAAATTAGAAAAATAAATAATATACCTACATGTGGATGTGGATGCATAATTTTTTTTCACTTAACTGTATTGAGGATCTATGTCAGATTATTTGTTAATTCTGTAATCGTGCACAACGCCAAACACATCGGTTTTCTATTTCTCAGTCTGTTTTAGTTTTTAGTTTACAATTCGTGACAAGTCAAAGCTTGAGTCGGCCGTTCGCGCCGGCGTAGTTTGGTCTCTAAAAGGATCCGAGACTGATATTGATGATTCGAATACGAATCCTTTAAACGGTTACCAGCCTTAGTATGTATTTTGAATGAATTTTTGATATAATTTCTAGTTATATTTCTATTAGTTATAATGTATTAGTTTATTTGTTTAATTTTCTGATTGTATAGTTATTTAAAAGAAAATTAAAAATATTTAATAGTTATCACCCTAAGTTTTTTCATTTTTATTATTTAAGAGATTTTTATAAATACCTATGTATAAATTGCAATAAAACTTTTCACCTGTCTAATAAAAAATAGAAATATGTTTTAAGCCCATTGTATAGAAATCATTATGTATATTTATAGAAAAGCGGTTTAGGTAATATAAATTTGAAAAATTCAATTTAAAACAAATTATTATTGCAAAATAAATAAGTATTAAAATATAATAGATCAGAATATATTTTTATTAAAAAAACCTTTACAAAAGAGCATCGATCGTCATACCGATTGCACCTGCTTGCCGAAGTGATCACTTCTAAACCTTTCGTGAAATGAGTTTTTCACTGCGCATCTTACTTCGGGAGACCTACTGAATTAGAGCTGCCAGAATGAAAATGGCAAATCGTACTGAAAAACATTTTAAAACGTAATGAATTTCAAAAAAACGTACTGAATAACCAACTTTAAAAAAAAGCTATATTTTATGAAAATGTACCAATACCTAAATCGAACACCTTAAAAGTTGCTGGAGAAAGGTTTCAAATAAACAATAAATTATCATTTTACGATGTTCTTCAACATCCCTTTATTCTTAAATGCTAGATTTCAAAATTTCTGCCTTTGATTATTGTATGTGGCTGGAATGCAATTTTGTGACTTACTGATAGAAAACCAGTTTTAATCATTCATTTTGTTTCTTCTCTTTAGACATTTTAACTTCACGCTATTATTTAATGGTATTTTTTTATTTTGACAGAATAGGTTAATTCTTCAAAGCCAACTTATAAGATTTCGGAAACTTCTCAAACATTTTCCCGTAAATACTGTTGCCTGCGTATATTTTATTATTGATTTTAATTGATTATACTTATTTTTTTTTTTAATTTAAGTGATAAAAATATATAATAATAATAAATTAATGTTTTACTTGTTTTGCAAATCCATATACTTTTATTAAAACTAACATATATACTTTTTAATTATGAATTCTATTAAAAATTGTATTGTCTGTATACGTAGAAATAGTCCTTTAGTATCTAAATGATTGGCGCTGCTGTCACGCACGGGGCGAATAGGCACATAAATAGTTTCTAAAAAAATAGTTAAGGGAGGCGCTTTGATGATGAAACGAAATTTTGAAAATATGGTCAGCTATGAAATAAAACAAAATCACTACTTTCGGTTGTACCCAAAATATCGGAGCTGATATTTTAATTTTGAAAAAGCCAATAAATTCTTGAAAATACACATATTTTTCTAACTGTAACAGTTAACCAGATTGCGATAATGGTTGATTAAATTTTCTCCACCCTATATATATACCAGGTTCCAAAAAAGGACGCAAGCCGAAGGCAGTTGCAGGATATCTCAAAAACAACGCGTCGTAGAATTTTGGGAAAAACATTTTAAACGTAAAACTGGCCAACAAGAATTGTTGGAAATTATTTTCAAATGTCATCACTTGATATCGTTATGTTATGACCAGTGATAAACTGATAAACGTCGTCAATATTGAGTAAAATTTAGACAACTTATTATAGCATTTTTTCAAACCAGCATTGCGTCCCTTATCTTAAATTAATTTTCATAGATTTCTAAGGACAACGTTTATTAAAAAATAAAGGCTAAACACTTTTTTAGATATGTATAACCGACATCCTTTCTTATTTGGCCACCCGGTACATGCTGCATTTTAAATTGCGATATAAATATACCAGCTGTCAGTGATTTTAGTTTCACTGAAACAATATTTTGAGAAAAAAGATATAAATGGGGTGATCATAATAAAAATCCTGTGTGCATTCGAGCATAAAGTTCCATTGCGATGTACCACTTTCCGCTCTCGATACAGAAATACCTATTCTACTAACAACCATTAATTTAACACTAATTAAACTGAAATATTTGCTTTCGATCTTGAAAAGATGTACGTCTATTAGTTTTGCCCAGTAATGTCTACAAACCTCTCCAGTTATTTTATCCACTTGCGGCATACAGCTGGGTTTGTAAGATTTTAAACTGGACGTTAAGCAAATATTGATCGCATATATCAACGAGGAAATTATGTCTTGTTCAAATATTTCTAAATTCTCGACATGCAAGACGTAATTAAATTATAAACATATTTTTACTGCTATAAATAGTTATTTACGTGACAAGATCGAAAATGGTGAACAATATCAAGACTGTATAGAATATAAAGTTGATTTCTTGCGGCTCTATATACTGGTACTTTATCGAGATGCAACTTCAAAGTGCCCATTCGTGAGTTTGGGCTTAAGTTTTTGGAGAAATTGAACAAACTGTGGCAAATAATTTTCAGTATACCTACCACCAAGCAATGGAAGCAGTATGGAAGTGTAGAAGGGCCACAAATAATATACTTTTAATTTTTCCGACTTAGGGCCAGTAGTTATATACGTTTAGTTTAAACTACAAGTTTCAGTTAAACCTAAGTTTAACCAACATGGTCTTTCTTTACGTGAATGTAACCGTCATCCGAAGTTTAACTATCAACCGGTAGTAAAGCACCAGTTAAATTTATGCGTATAAGATGTTTCTGTCAATATTATTGTGTTTTTCAATCATTAACCTTAAAACTCGCGAAAAGCAAAAATGTTGGGAGGATTTTCTGATATAACATTGTATTTATATGCGCGCCAGTCGGAATACTTCGCGATGCTATGTGTCTCGAAAATATTGAGAGCTTTAAATTTGTACAACGATAAGGCAAACTGTACAGAGACATTTAAGAAAAAAAGTGGGAAACCCTCCCATTTAAAAACTATTAGATATTTATTAAAACAAAAAGCAGCAAATTTTCATAGATTTAATATATAAATACTTTGGGAAGGTTTACAGAAAATTAAGTCAATCAAAGAACAAAACCTCAAAATCAATACCACATCAAATTTTATTAAATTAAATACGGGAGTGACTAGTAGCGGCCTCATAGGGCCAATAATCCTTAGCAGTAATTAAGTGTAAATTTTAGGTTGTAAAATGTAACAAATTGCAGTATATAATAAAATGTAGTATGCTACATGCCCGTTACCTGATCTCTACGTGCTTGCACGGTCATAACGTTTTCGCATGTAAGGATCTAGGTATTCTAACCTACTATTTACCCGTATGTCACTTTGCCAAGCACTTATCGCATTTTTAATTTTTCCTACTGTCTTGTTTGGTTTTAGCTGACAAGATGAAACCTTAGTCCTACTTTTCTTGTGTTGCAATGAATAGCAAACGACCTTTGCGTATGCAGGAGAGGAAAGGATGTGATATCGGCGTTGTCAGTTACAGGTCGGCAACTATCTACCGATTGCTGACTCGACCTGTGACTGGCAACATATAATGTGTCTTTTATTTTCCTACAGGTGCACACAAGTGAAGCAGGATGAAGATTTGATCTGGCCAGCAATGTTAGATATAGCTACTGATTTTATACATATTTAATTAAAAATAGTTAAGTTTTAGGTTATTAGTACCGAACACATTTTTTCTATAATGTAAATAAACGCTTATCCGTGAAATAAATACAAGAGTAACAAATTTAAAAAGTGCTTCTATTTCCGCACAAATAAAACTTAATTAATTTTTTTTATTACAGTGCACGTATGGGTCCGGAATTTTCGAACTACAAGTATTGGAAATGGTAAACCCCCGCAGTGAACTGTCAAACGGTGCATGTTGTGGTGGTGGGGGCCGTACCTCTGTCACAAATCGGTGTTCTGTGTCGTGTCAGACTTTTTTCAGACTATGTTTAAAAGAGTACCAGAATAATGTGACTAATAATGGCTTATGTTCCTTTGGCAATACCTCAAGCCTCGTTATCGGAAGAGACTCGTTTACCGTTGCCGATCCAGAGCGAGGAAAATTAGTTTTACCATTTACATTCCGATGGACGGTAAGTTTCATTATTTAGATGATAATTTCTAGAATAAATCAATTTATAATTAATTCTTATGCCAGCTTTCTCAATCCAAACTGTAATTTCCTAAATGCACAAAGAAAAATATAATACTAAGCTTATATGTACCTATACTACTTGTGCAAGAGAATGTAATCCGGCATTAACAGATACGTCATTTACGTATGAATATGAAATGAGTTTCTTCGTTGTAAACGGCTTATTATTAAACAGAACTGTCAAATCATTGCACGAAAAAGAAGAATTGTACGGACAATAAAGAAGAAGTTGTTTACATTTGTCATTGATGGTGTTTGGTTGCTTTTATTAAAAACTGTTTAAAACTACTATTAATAATGGGATTTGCTTGTCAAATCTTTTTTTGTGTTCTAAAGTTTTTGTTGCAGTTCGTCTGAATTAAAATTTACTTTTGATTTAAATACAATCAACTATAATAGTATTTTTTTTAATAGTTCATAGGAATGCTTATTATTTTTAAAGAAGTTTAGCAAAATTTTGCTAATAGCATTTGCAGTGCCACACATTTATAAATTATTTTTTCATTACCTATTTGAGTTGTACACATATATTTATTTAATTTGTGTATTTTGGGTTTAGTTTTAATATAAATTTTGAGATTTCTTTTAAAAATAAATGAATTTTGATCTTTTATAGTTTTATACAGTTTTGGTCCAAGAAACTGTCCTATTGACTTATTCATAAGATGGGTCAAAAATGTTTGATTCATAAATATAATTTTCAATTCTGATTTGTGAGTGAATTGTTTTTTGTACATTTTTATTAATGATATTAATGTATAAATAATTATATTATGTAAACAACTGATTTGAAATATAATTTTGTATGTAGGTATGTTCACTGTTTATCTGCACTAAAATTGTTTAGAATTGTAAACCTCTTGATTGCATTTAAGCTGAACCCAGCACTCATAAAATATTTGAAACATCATTGTTTCCTAATAAGAATAATAGTGGATTTTATTTTTTTCACTAGGTATTCTAGGTATAAGTTTTTTCCACTAATCGCATTTGATTTGTTCAGTGTATCTTCCACATACTTTGATTTTATTTTACTATACGGAGAATGGTCGCACTGCGCAGCTTTCTGAGTGCCTTTTAAAAGGAGATAGGAAACTCCGCCATTTTGAACCCTTATTACGTGTTGCCTACATCTTGGCGCAATATTTTTAATAGGTGCGTGTGGCGACATCATAGCACCACATAGTCTTACCTTTAGTTTTGACTTTTACGTCAATTTATTTTAAGGTTTCTTAGTCAGTTTTTATTTGAGGTTGGTCAAGTGTCAATGTCAGATGGTACCATTATAATATCACATATGTTAGGTCTTTTCCTTTGCATCGAAAGTGTAGCACTGAGCTACGTCACTTCTGAAAATATTGTTCCATCCATACAATTTGTATATATGGAACGATATTTTCAGAATTGGTGTAGCCCAGTGCTACACTTTCGATGCAAAGGAAAAGACCTATTATGATCTTGGTCGATAGCTGCGTACCCTAGCACCCTACTTATCCGATGGATGGTAACCATGGAAAGAGAAAACAAAAAGATTGATTGATTACGGATTTCGAAATTAACAAGACAAGACGTACCTTTGACATAACAATTTTTATATAACGCTTTTCATATTTTAAAATAAAATTATCTTTTAATTACTGAGATTCTCATTTCCTGCTATCTACAATTGGTGACCCCGAACGAGCACACTTCAACTGCAAGGAACCCCTTTGGAGCATCCCGGAATAACATCCAAGACTAGAACCTAAGACCCCGACAGAAGATTCTACACCCGACAAGTGCGTTATAATCATCCGCTTCTGCTTCGGAATTGTCGGTTTTCTTGTTTTAATCTGACAGGTTAAAACGACTAAACCGACAATTCCGGAAGCAGAAGCGGATGATTAAAACGCACCTGATATTTTGCTTGCTGCTGTCAGTGTCAGTGAATATTATTTTTGAAGTCACAGTTTATTGCTAAAGAATCAGTTAGCTCACTCGGACCAGTTGAAAGTTCCAAAATAACATCCACTCCAGGGATACAAAGTCAGGATACGCAGAAGACTGCTGTTTTATTATAGGCGGTTGTCATGTATTATCCGAGTTGCACAGTGTATAAACTGAAACATTGAGATCAAAAGTGCCGACGCAGAGTGAGCGATCTGATTCTTTAGCTGTAAACTGTGTCACAGGGTTCAAAATGGCCGCGCCCTATGTTGGGCGTGTCGGACCTCTCTCTTGCCTCGTATAGTAATCAAAGTATGTGGTATCTTCAGATATTTGACACATACTCGTACTTGAGTGTAGCATATACATTTGACAAGTATGACAGTTCGAATACAGTGTCGAGTGTGACACTAGTGCAACAAATAAAATCCATTATAAATTAAGAAGCGGAGACTTATTATGTGTCAGTTCGATACTAAAACTGTATTTTTCAATGATATATGTGTTGAAGTGATTGTGGGTGGGGTTTTCCTCGCCATAAGTCAAATGGCACATCAATCATCTGGCAAATTGACAATCACAGTCCTATCCAAGCACACGCTGTCATTTCTGGAGTTAAAATTCTTTCCTACAAGGGTGAATTATAGGGAGAGTATTATTATTATTATTAAATGAATATTGGGTTTTCGAAAGCAGATTAATCTTCCACAAGTTGATGTTATCATGCTGTGACGGAGTTTTATGCAATATGGAACAAAAATACAATAACTAACCACTGAAATTACCTACCAGTTACAAGAAGAAAATACAAGTGTTCAAAAAATTGGTCGCCTTTCAGGTATAATATTTGATAACGGTATAATGACTATTTTAATTATTCTATTGGCTACTTATGCGCGCGAATAATAAACAGTAATAGTTTTTTAATACCAAATTGCTTCTACATGCCTAATTAAGCGGATGAATGAAGGTTTTCTTAGAAAACTTAACACATTGTTTCTAAGTAAATAGGATTAAAAATTCCTATGCGTTGTTATAGCCAATTGTGTAACAGTGGTGTTTATGATCCAAAGGCGAAAAATATATAGATAGGTATTGTAGGTGTTGGAATGGACTAAGATTTCATATAACTTTTACTTAAATACACTTTTATAATATGGGAACAATTGGACTAGATATACAAGGCGTTTCAGAGTGAAATGTACATAAATAAACTTGTAGTATTTGAAATTGCTCGCATTATTAATGGCTCTATTACATCTCATTACCATTATGAATTTCGTCTGGGTTTTTATTTGGCCGGAACTCATCAACCTTTTGATATATAAATTTCAAATTTGGCAGGTAAGCTCATCTTGATATAGCAAAAATAATGGCATAGAAATACATTAAAATCCAGGTCCGGCTTAGTAAAATTTTACCATTTCTTTTAGCCTGAAACACCAAATTTTGTATATCTGATTACATATTTTAAAATAGCGGAAAAATCGATTTAGATAAGTGTCTTAAAATTTGCGCATTTAATTAAGGAGGTGCTAATTTTTTGCTAAAAAAATAATTTTTTAAAATTTGTTACCTTCGGAATTTAAAAATAATTGTTTGATGATTATACGAGCACAATATTACTTTTTTAAGTAGGTAAGTTCTCAAATATCTTAACTATTTCAGTCTTTGATTTAATATAAGAGTTAAATTACAGGACTGTAGTTAGCTAAATCAATAATTTTATAAATTCAAGAAACCCTAACTATTCAAACAACCTAAACTCCAAACTAAACAATAATTACAACTTATTTCAGATAATTCTGACCTTTCGGATTTGATTTGCGATCTACGATACATTAAATTCACAATTTTCATACTGTTTTCACCTTTGGGGTTCAGGGATGGTCTTAATAATTCGGATTTTTGAGATTTCTTTTCGAATTTTCAAATTAATTCTTTTAACAATAATTGTTTAAAATGACAACCATTACATTAAATACATATGGTTACCCATTCAACAAACTTTTGGATTGCCTATCTTAGATATATTTTTTATTTTTTTACATGCATTACATTTGTGTTCTATGATACAAACGAGGATATAAATAACTAAATTTTATTTAGAAGACAAGAAAAAAGTTTAATAAGTTTAATAAAATAGAGAATTTTTGATAGTTCATTAGGGTTTCTTTGTTGTAAGCATTGTTGTTAAATAACTAATTCTAGAAAAATCTCATCAATTTTCCAAAGAAGAAAATTCCGTTATTTTGTTTGTATACGGATTTTGTAATGGTAATAATAAAGCCGCTGAAAGGATGTTTCTTCGACTGCCTCACAAACTTTTTCGATCGCTTTTAAATTTCGTAGACAATACGGTCTTTTTCCAACAACAAAATTTAATAAACCTTATAGAAAGGCAAACACTGATGTAGAAAATATTATCAACATAATTAAAAATGAACCAAAAATTAGTACTCGCGGAATAAGTAGATAATGCATTATATGTACCATATGTTTAAGGTACCCACACATATACATGTGCGTCAAACTAGCTTGGGCGTTGATGTTTGCCAGTGGTAAAAAATCACAAGCATGTGCGTCGCACAAGTTTTATGGTTTGTCCGAAATTCATCAACGTGCAAGTTGAAACTTGAATATTGTCGGTATGTGAGGGCAAGTATCACTGTTCGTTCACATACGTTTTGAGAACAGCGTCTTGTATATTTGGGTATAGTTTATTTTCTATCGATATCACAATGTCTGATATAATGTACTTTTCAAAAGACTTTATTTCATTGAACTTTATAAATATTTTCCTTGTTTAAAGAAAAACAAAAGTATGATTATAATAAATAGATGCCGCCTATAAAGTTAAGTTTAATTTAAAAAATACATTCTAAGAACTTTAAAAGCCATTTTTTTTTACCACTTTTGCCCGAATTTTTGGCTTTTTAGCTACTTTATTTATTTTATTTTTGTTTAAAGCAGCGTTTACTGCATTTACTGGTCATCGGACACTTTCAAACT